TCAAATGTGATTTTTACCATTTGTTGACTGAGACTATATGTTCTTACAACAGGTATTAATATCTTAGTTGGTCAAATCAAGAAGTAAATGAAGTACAAAGTTTAAAATCATCACAATTTCTTCCAACATTAAAATCTAATACTTCACACTTCTTTTCAATACTTAATCACTTATCATTTTAAGAAAAAAAAGATAAAGAAAACTACTCAGAATTTATGGAAAAAATACAACCACAATTGAGTTTAAAAGTAAAAATCATACACATAAACAATAAGTCTAAATTAAAACCAAATGTAGTTAGAAAGATAAACGCTTCCTTTGAAATTTTTTTTTCACTCACAATACAAACTAAAACTCAAAATAAAAATAAAAGGTGGTCGACGACAGGGATTACTTTGGATGGATGGATGATGATTGGCGATTGGCGATTGGTGATTGACGATTATCAATTGGCCTCTTCCTTTGATGATCAAAGTCTTCTTTAATAAAAATCTAAGAAGTGTCTTGGTGTCTCTTCAAAATGTCTCTATTTAATGAATCTTCTAGGAGTTGTCTCCTCTCAAAAGCCAATTGAATGAATTTTCGTGTTCATGAACTATTTCTCACGTTTTTACTAAGGGTTGCTTCAAAACCCTCTTAAAAAATTCATTCAAATTCAATTAATCATCAAATAACAACTTCTGATGCTTAAGGGCGGGGTACCTGACGCTTAGGCGCGGTTCTCTCTGTATAACTGACGTGGAAGCGCCAGTCCTGGGCGCTTAGGCACCTCAGTTCATTTTTGCACATTCTTCATTTTTGCTCCAAATTTGATCTTTGCTCCAAATTTGATCTTTTTTTTCACTCATTTTATCATTTTTCATTCATTTGATTGTACCTAAAATAAAAACACACAAATACCTTTCATTAAAGCGCAACATCTCAAAAATAAGTATAAAAATGTGTACATAAAGATATATATATTTTAGGTGCATCATTAATACAGTTTATTAAGTTGGTTTGTTGTCATTCTGAAGATTTAAGATTTAGTAAGAGATTGGGTAAATAGATTTGGATAAGTATGGAAGATCATTACAATTGAGAACCACATACTTACCCTAGTCCTATCTAGTTCTACAAGAAGACATCATAGTCCCAAATGCCCAATCTTTCAACATGTATTATCATAACCAATATGATATTTTCCCCATCTAATTTACGCAATCTTCATAAAATATATCAGTGGACATTGTAAATTCTAAATTTGTTATCAATATGGGGTAAAATGATATAGACATATTTATGATAATTATACATATGAATTCTCAAACTAGGCAATCTTCATAAAATCCATTATTGCAATAAACAAAATAATTAATGACTTTTACACTCATTTTTATATTCTCATGATGTTGAGCATCTATCACTAAATTATTACCGTATTATTTGTTGATACAAAAGTTCATCTTTAGTTTAAGCAATGGCAAAAACTACGACTTAGGAAGAACCTAATGAGTGAACTGCTAATAATTGACTCTCGGCATGTTTATTATCATTGAGCTGAAAGAATGGATGAAACTTAGCATAGTTGATTTATCCCACATCATAGAACATGTCATTGTTTCCACTTGCACTACTACTATTCATTTTCTCCTGCCTCATATCTCCAGTGTTTGTTGAGTCACCAAATGGTGAATTCACCTCCAGAATGTAGTATGGTTCAAACTCTCTGAATAACACATCTATAATTTCTCAATCGGACTCCAACAAATATAACCCTTCTAAATAGCATAATAACACATGAACACACATTTTACACTCAAACTCTGTTCCCTCAGATGATTTGTTGTTTTTCACAAAGAAAACATGTCCAAATATCTTCAATAGAAGGATCTCACCATTGTTTCCCTTCAACATCTGATAAAGAGACTTCCACTTCAGCACTCTTGAGAGCACCCTGTTAATCAATTGAGCGACTGTCAACACTGCTTGCCCCCGTAAGTGTTGTAGGACATTCATTATTATCATCATGCTCTGGGCTACCTCTAGAAGATCTCGATTCTTCCTCTCTGCTACTTCATTTTGTGTTTGTGCGTATAAACAAGTGACTTGATTTTGTATCTCTTGAGCTGACAGATAATCCTCAAATGTTTTGTTGATATAATTTATCTCATTATCACATCTCAGTGCCTTCACAACTGTCCCATATTGGGTATGGATTACCTTGTGGAAATCTTTACAGTAATCAACCATCTTACTCTTCTGTTTCATCAAATATATCCAGGTAAATATATCCAGGTAACACAAGAAAAATAATCAATAAACATAACAAAATAACGATAATCGTTCATAGAATTAGTAGGAAAAGGTCTACATACATCAGAATGTAGCAAATCAAACATTCCAGAACTCCTATTCCCATAACTGATATAAGAACTCATAGTGAATTTGCCAAACTCACAAGCATCTCGCACCAGTTTCTCCTTATTTTCCTTTTCATAAAAGAGTGAATACAAACGACTCAATAGACCGAACGAAGAGTCCCATGAGCCTCTGATGTAGCGGCACTACATCCTCCAACTTCAGTATTCTCAACTATGAATATCAAGGCTAAATCAATCGCCTCTCTATCCAAGTACCAAGGTTCACTATGCGATATATCGGTTTGAAGTTTTCGGCCGGTCCCCTTCTCTTGAAAGGTCACATTCGAAATATCAAATGAAACAACACATTTTAGTTGGAGTTATAATAACACTAATGGATAAAAGATTCACTTGAAAAGAAGCAGGCATAACATTGGACAAAATCATAGAATTAGTACACCTCACCGTACCCTTATCAATTACAGACTGTGTTGTACCATCAGCGATCTGAACGCTCTCTGGAACTGCTAGGCGTGCATAGGAAAAGAACTCACTAGCGGCACCTGTCACATGTCGAGATGCACCAGAATCTATTATCTTTTCTAGTGAAATTGTGACGAATATTGAGGCAAAAACATGTGTATCACAAGCACATTTGGCTGAGTGAGCATAAATAGCAATGTTTCCCTGAGATGACGATAAGCTGGATGCATCCACAGTAACAACACGTCGCTCTCTGCTTCCTCTTCAACATGTCCAATAACTCGTGAAACTCATCGGTAAAGACCACCCTTGTCTCCCCCTCGTTCTCCACTACCATCTGACTTACCGGGTAGCCCCCACTTTTATGACCACGGCCTCGAGATTGTCCGCGTCCACCCGTCTCTCTTTTTGGGTAGAATTGGACATGTCTTGCACAGGTTTCTCGCTTCTCCGCAGTTGTAGCACCTGCGGGTCTTCCCCTGAGCACATGTCCTACCTGAGCTTGAGGCAGCCAAAACCGATCGCATTCCTGAAAGTCCACTAGGTTGAGCCAGAACACGTGCAAAGGTAGTGACTCCCGTTGAGAATCTAGCTCTTTGTATGAGTCCGACCAAGACCTTTAGAACTTCAGGATCCATTTTCCCCATAAGTTTCAATCATTTACTTCCAGCACTGCCTTCGTCTCCTGACATCCTCAACCACAAGGATAAATTTACAGCACGCAGAACACACGTGCTTACTGCAAATTTGTGCAATCTGCTTTATCTTAATTTGCACAAAGGCGCAAACTCTTTGTCCCGCACGCAAAACTGCAGTCTCTTCAATCCTTCGCCTCCATGCCCTCGAGTGGAACTCCAGAAACAAAGTCCTAATCCGCTGCCTTTCTAACTCTCGAGATACAATTCCACTATTTCGTACGTACCAGACCCGTCATTTTCTTCTCAGTTACCTCTAATTGTGACTATATGGTTATATCCTTCGGGTCGGGCCCACGCCGCAGGCCCTGTAGGCGAGAGACACTACTCTGTCATGTGAAACACTTAGGCAATCATGTGATCCGAGTGACTGTACGTCGGGAATCCTTACCTCCACGTGATCCCGTCTCAACAACTTCATCGCAGCCATCCCAGTTAGTGTAACTGCATCACGAGGGTCCCCGTCAAGATCCCTACTACGATCCCCTTGTTAGTTGTTGTTTCTTGATGAAGACGCCGTGCCGATCCCTTTGCTACCGTTCGAGTTAGCTTGAATTGCAACGATTTCATGATAAAGAAGCCAATCAGCGCCAACGCGATCTCTTAAGGTTAGCTGATATCAAGTCGTAAGAATTGTTTAAAAATCTTATTATTTCATTCATAACATGGACTTAAACAGATTACAGCTTTTACAAATAAACCCACAAATAATCCTTTTTTTACACAACTCTCAGCAGAAATTCGGAATCATCAAAATCACACGTACAACTGAAATCATGTCGCAATTAAAAATATATATTTCATAAAGCCAAAACCTGCTAAAATCATTGTTAAAAGAAAAAAAAAAGTCGATAGGCCCTATCCTTAATCAAAATCGAAAGAAATATGATGACAAGAAAATATTCTACGGCGTAAAAGTCACATGACAAAGGCGGTAGAAGCACAAAACCCATGCAGACGGAAGGAGTCACAAAAATCCAATAAAATGCGAGGCTGAAGAACCGAGTAAATGCCAGGAAACCAAAAATTCACATCATTTCTAACCACCTTCGAAAAATTCATGTTTTGTACTGCGTATGTGTGTGTGCACGTGTACCAAACTAGCAGTCTTAGGGATCATATAAAACATTGGTGGCTACATTAGTAATGAGACATATGACCTAATATTCTTATGCACACCACCCCGCACACCACCCCCTCCAAAAATTTAAAAAAAAAAAACTCCTAGTTTTAAGAGTTGCAAGAAAAGTGAAATGTGAACAGAATATTATGGAAATACACTAATAAATTTGCATAAAATGTTGGTGTCAAATTCACATCATATGAAGAGAACAAAAGCCTACAGAACTTGTTCTATATAATGATGCAGTAAGACTTACTGTATATACATGCGCCTACACTACCATCTCTCTAGCATGAGTTAAATCAGCTCATCGCAACATGAAGTTTATAACAAATGTTATTAATATGTTGTTCTTACCCTCTGCTCTCTTGTTCCTTCCCATTCTTCCTCGTGCTCACGCTTTCTTTTCCACATCTCCTTCGTTTCTTCTTCGTCCTTCTTCAATCTCCCTTCCTCTTCTGATATCTATTCAAAATAAAACCAATCATTAAGAAATCAATGAATCTCCATCAGGTAATACTACAAGAAAGTAAAACATGACCTAGGTAATTTTAAGGCATACCCTCATTTGCATTTTCCTACGACGCCACTCCTGTTCGGTTAATATCTCACGAACTTTTAATTTCAACTGCTGCTGAAATTCTTCCGATTGCTCGTACTGATGCTCGTATTTTCCCTAGAAAATTTTAATTCTTAAAAATCAACTCAATTTCAAAGCTCATTTCTTTCTCAACCTTTTGAAAGCATTGGGGAAAAAAATGGTAATATACTATAGGGGAAACAAGACCGAAATAATTTCAGAAAGTTTCAAAGTTTCATTTTAAATATAATGCAAGATACGTAAATTAAAACAGTTATAATTAAAATAAGATACCACTAATAGCAAAAAAAAAATGAAAAAACGGCTCAATTTTCTGAAAAGGTGCTTCCAACTTTTCCTAAGCACATGCTGCATCTATAGATTGTTAGTATAAAAGTGGAGCCCTAAATAAAGCATTTTGCATGTAGCTTTGCAAACAAAATTATGATATTAGGAAGGCTGCTATTACAAGATGAAGTAAGCTAAAATCTTATTAGTCCACAAAGAGAAACGGGTCAAAATAGTCTCTCGACTCTTTGTAGAGGGGCCATTTTAGCCCCTCAGCCTATAAAAGAGTCAATTTAGTCTCAGATTTTTTAAACGGAGACTACAATAGTTCTTCCTGGAGACTACTTCAACCCATATTAAAAATGAATGAGGACTAATTTGGCAATTTATAGACACTTAGGACTAAAATGGCCCCATATAAATAATCAGGGGACTATTTTGGCATTTTACTCTTCCAAATTATAAGCATTTCAAAGGAAAAACAAAAGGAGTATGGGTAAAAGACGATTCAACGTGAATGAGATAAAAATTCACCAGCAGACAACTTCACGACCAGTACTAGAAAATTGTAAGCATAAAATTGGAAACAATTGTTCAAAACTGTTTCAGACTAACTGAAAAAACCTTATCCCAATGCAACGTCTCGAAGATCAAATAACAAGATGCATCAAAGGTAAACGGTGTTTACAAGCATTGGATCCTAGTTTGATTTAATTTGTCCTCCGTAAGATGCGAAGCCCTTGTAACTCAAAACCAGAAAGTCATCAGAATGATACACCTTAAAATGTAATTATCTAGACTTTATATCAAGAAAACTTGATAATAGTCACTATTTCATTTACAAACTGATGCGAACTTAATTAATGTAGCTATCAGATAAAAACGCATTGGTTGGCCATAAATTTAGCATTTGGTAGCAAACTATTACTGCTATGAAAGGGGAGATAGGGGGACAGAGTGAGAAGTAAGAAAAGGCATAAAAGCATGCAAACTTGGGTGACGGGGAAAGGGGGAGGAACCGAGTGAGATTCAAATAAAGGTTTTGTGATTGTTGAGCAATATATGCCAAAGCACCAAATAAATCCGTTTTAAAAGAAATATAAGATGAAAAATTGCTTCTTCTTCTTCTCTTTTTTTTTTTTTTTTGGTTGAAAATTGCTTTAAGAAAAAACAATTTGACAGTCAGCTTCAAGGTAATTACAATTGAAGCGGAGATTTTTTTTGTTTCCCCTGATACGCATGGTAAAACCAAACACAAAACAATTGGTTATTCATAATTAAGTATCTGGAGTTAAACCAACATAAGCAACAGAAACAAAAATGAATACTGGTTAATTTTCTGGGATAGTGTTTTCTTATTCTATTAAGTGGTTTCTTGTTTAAAATGTAAAAGGAAAGAAGATGGATATTGAAGCACCAAACATCTAAAAGAAAGCCAAAATAAGTATTATTCGTTAAATATTCTTCAAATTAACGATCACTCCTTGTTTATTATTATCAAACTAGAAAATTTTAGGGCAAAGGAGTCAACTCTTATACTAGTGGTTAGATATAGGTGAATGTGCATGGGCCTGATAAGATGAGGAAGCAATTACACTAAATCAAACAAACTAAACAAGATGTGCTAGTAGAACAAGTTTACCTCATCAACCAATGATTTAATTTTAGTGACATTGTCTTTCTTTAATTGCTTCTTTCTTTTCGCCCTTAGCTCTTCTGTAATTAACATCAAAGTATTAATTTTGGCATCCCTTATGATAGAAACCTCATTATGCTACCCAACAAATAAAAAAGGTGAAGGGTAAAATGTATTAAAAAAAACAAAGAATATTCATGCTAAGTCCACACCTCTTGCGTTATTGACTTGACTAAGAATGTATTCTCGTTCCTGTGGATCAAGCAATAATTGCTGAGCCTTTGCTAATGCTGCAAAAAGTAAACTCAGGGTCATAAAAAACCTGGAAATATCAGCTACACTAAAATTGCAACAGAAAAAAAATAGGAAACTCGCAGCAATAAAAGGGAAAAGCTTACCAAACAGACATGCCAATATGTAAAAATGATTGCACTATTAAAAAAACAAGTCTTCACATGAAATCATCAGATAGAGAGTGATAGTGTAACCACGGACAATTTAATGATGACGGCTTCAAGGACAATATGGCAACCACAACTACAAAGAATGAAGTTACAGGCAAACAATAATAAAACTTAAATATCGCTTCACACCTGAAACACAAAAATGGTCAAGATGTCGACTCAATCAAAACATGTAAACAAGTGAACTTGGGCGAGCCTAGTACTTGTTTGGGTTCTGCTCATTCGAAATAGGCTCCTGTTCGAAACAGCTCATAAATAGCATGTTCTTACTCTGCTCGATTCAATTTTGTTTGTTTTTTCCAGCTCGTGTTTCAACTTGACTCGAAATTAGTTCGAATGATTTAAAAAATAACAAAATTTACTTTTTTTTAATATAGCATAAAAAATCAATATAAAAATGTTATGATAATATTATTTAATTAATTCAAGTCAAAATGAGTCAAACATGGTACAACAAAAGCTAGTTTGTGGCTAGGCTTGTTTATAAATCAGACTAAAAAAAAACATTAGCGTTTGGCTCAATTGCTTAACGAATGAATTAAACATGAGCTGCTTAGATAATTGAACACGAGTTGGTCGTGAATGGCAAGTTTTTTTTTTTTTTTCGGCAATATCTGAATGCCTTCAAAATCATAGATGAAGAATGTGAGTATAAAATGATCAAAAGGAAAAAAAAAACACATCAACAGAAGTTCTTACTCTAAGAAGGATGGTTAAAATTGACCCACGAGTACAGAAAAAAATAATATAGGATGACCATGATGGCTACAGATAAAGAAGGAATGTCAACAAATTCTAAAAAAATGGGAAGTTCAAATCCATAATATTCGTGATCAAATTCATGTTCGAGTGAAAATTCCTGGAACAACTTTTTCTTATTTCTAACATCTACTTCTATGTAAGAGTTTAGCTAACATCTCATCTCTGCAAATGTCCATACTCTTCGTCTATGCTTTCTTCAGCCACATTATAATTTTAAAAGAGCAATATTTAGTATCAAAGGATTAGTGATGCAGCACGACTCAAGGTTTAGAGTTTGGTAATGCAGATGTATAAAGAAATGTACATTCATAAGCTTAAATGAAATTTAATATAT